ACGGATGGTGGGTTTTCAGACTGAGGAATTCTATATGTACAGGAGAATAACTTCATATCACTGCGACAGTTTTGGGAATGTCAAATTTGTTGATGGCAGGGATCTCAGGTAATTGACTACACATTTCTTATTTTCTTTCTTTATTTCTTTTCTTATTAAGGAAGGAATTAATAACATTAGAGGAGATTCTATCTGGGTTATGTGTGAGTTATAATATGTTCTAAGCTCTTCTGAGGCATAGTGTTTATTTGAGAAGTGCTTATGTTATTAATTTCCAACTCGATAGATCGTCACCAAGTGAACATTCAATGTCACTAACCAGGTGAAGGATTAGAACTAAACTTCATTCTCCTCACATTGTACCTCCTCACTCAATCCCACAGGTAGTCAGCTTATTCACTGATAATACTGTAGGTCACTTCAAGCTGTTGTAAAATTTTACATAAATAAAATAGTATAGCACTGGCCCCGTTCTCTTCTTGTGAAATTCTTTGAAGTATTTCATTTATTCTTGCTGCTCTATAATTTCCACTAGATGGACAGGACATGATGTATGAGGTGTGATTGAAAAATACGGTGGATGTTTCAATTTAAAAGAATTATTACAGTAAGAGACAAACTATTATTTATCTTTCTCCAAATACTCTCACTTCAAACTCATGCCATCATTCTGGCCACTTCCGGAAGTCCTCCTTCAGGAGCGTCTTTAGTTGCAGGGTTGTGGCTGCCCCAGTGTCCTGAAATCATTCAAAATGGTGAGCTTTCCTGGTTATTTTGACTCTGGGGAAAAGCAGAAGTCGCACAGTGCCAGGCCCGTTGAATAAGGTGGGCGAGGACGTACAGTAATGCTTTCACAAGCCTGCCTGTCTGTCGGGTGGTACCTTTGCTCACCCCCTGGGGAGACAGAAAGCAGACTCTCAGAAGTGATTCAGAAAGTGGCGAGTATGAGGGAATACGGGTGTCTGGGGCAAGCAGGGGTATTTTGAAGGGGATGAGTGCAATGTGTCTGTTACTGCAACAAATTTTAGAAATTACATATTCACCATATCTTTGATCACACCTCATACTTGCTTTCTCTACTATTGATAGGCCTGGGAGTTGTCAGCCACCTAAGACCATGAAAGAGAATTAAAACTAGTTTTGGTATGGAATTTTTCGAAGGGGACTTTTTGTAAGTAAATGTGAATATTTCTTTTGACTAAAACACCTAGGAGTAGAATTGTTCCTAGATTTTCTTAGTGTAATGTTTGTACTGTTCCCTGGAGTGGTCTTGCATATCTTTCATTAGAGTCATTCCTAAGTATTTTATTTTTATGCTAAAGTATCTACTGTACTTAAAATTTTAATTTTTGAAGATCTGAAATAAGAAGAAACAATTTATCTAAGTGTATTGATCTTATATCTAAACTCCCTTATTGTTTCTAAGAATTTATCAGAAAGTTTTTTTGGGAAAATTTTACATGAAAGTTATGTTGTGAATATAATAGATGTCATGGATAGCTTTGTTTGTTCTTATATGGTGGGGGCAACTCAATATTTCATATTTATGATACTTGATGTCTGTTTTGTAGATTATTTTCGTCAGATTGGATAGAATTTCTCTCTTCCTTGTTTTCTAAGCAATTCTGAGAAAGTGTGGAAATTTATAACATATTTTTTTCTTCATGTATTTAGATGATGCTATGATTATTTTACTCTTTTCAGAAATTGTGATTAAAATGTTGATGAATGTTCTCATGCTGCAATGACCTTGCCTTTCTGGAAACAGTGGTTCTGATGGTATACATGTAGTTTTGAATTTGATTTGCTTAGGTACTGTTTAGGAGGATTGACATGGCCAGAATTTAACCTGTTTTTACTGTACATCCTTCACCTTTTATAATAAAATTGGCTCCCAATGTGCCAAGATGCCCTACCTCCTGTGATGCAGAGTGGCCTTGCTGTGGCTCCCTGGGTTGTCGCTTGTGAAGGAGTCTTGTACCCACAGCAGCAGCGCTGGTGTAGAGTAGGGGTGGGGGCAGCAGGCAGAGGAGACTATCTCGTGGGTGCCTGAGGGCACAGCCTTTGTACGGAGGGAGCTGCTATGGTTTGGGGGTGGCTGGTCCCCCAGAGGTTTATGGCAGCTCTTTGCAATGACCCCTAGTGTGGCGGTGTTGAAGTGGAGGAGACTTTAAGGAGCTGGGCACAGTGGAGGGGAATTAGGTTGCAGAGAACCCACCTCTGTGAGTGGGTGGGTAGCGGCTCCAGAAGTGGATCGGGTTTTGTAAGAGAATGGGTTGTTATAAAGCAAGTTTGGTCTTTTCCGCTGTGTCTTTCACTATGTGGTCTATATACTCATTATCCTGTTCACTGCTCTCTTGTGCTATGACCCAGCTGGGGGTCAGCTGGTGCTGATGCTCTTTGGCCTTTCAGCTACCAGAATCACCAGCCAAATAAACCTCTTTCTACATCACCCAGTCTCAAGCGTTTTGTTACAGCAACGCAAAACAGACTAAGATACACACTAAAAGAGAGAGCTGGCTTCAGGAAAACTACACTCTAGGCTAGTTGAGAATTTATAAAAACAAACGTAGATTTCTCAGATTAGGATGCAGCGGTCAGTTGTGGCAGGTATGATGAAGGGGAGACACCATGCCAACACCGGCAGTGCCCAAGCACAGCACAGGGAAGAGGGACCTTGTACCTTGAGTCCACCGTTTCCTCAGGTGGGACATTACACTAAACATTCTGTCATTCCAACTTCTGATTCATTGCTCACAAACCGACCTTCAGGCACAATCTGACTTCTCTTTCAGGTGTTTGTGCACAGAGAAATGATTCATTACACAGAGTAGGAAAATTTCAGTTGACGCATTTGTAATTGCAACTTATAAATAGGCATGTTTGTTTTATAGGGGTGCATGCAGTTATCACACTCTAAAAGAGGGGGCTCATCCTTTTCTATATAAATAAAATCAGCTACCCGAGTTTGCAAGAAACAATTTCAGAGCATGGCAGGTTTGTGGAAATAATGAAAATCAACTTGACTGCTTTTGGAAGACAGTTTCCTTTTATCCCGGGGTAAATGCATAACAAAGCCACCCTGTATTTTTCTTTAAAATGATATACCTTTGAATGCTTGTAGACTTCAGAAAGTGATGGCAACATTATCAATCAGTCAGCCCACCAGATTGAGCAGGCAGCGATGGATGGTTAGAGAGCTCATAGAACTCAGTAAGAAAGATACCCCGAGTATCCCGTTAGAACACACAGAGGCTGAAAATCCACCCTGCAATCTCTCAGTGTCTGCCAGGTGTTTGTTTAGCCGATGCTTAGATGCCACTTCCTACCTCCAGAGAAGCTCATTCTGTTCTGGGGGTCTCCATGAAAGTGAGATGTCACGGTAGCGCCTCCCTCCCACACCTGCTATGCCTTTTCCTCGTCAGAATCGCCTGTGATTGCAGAATCTGAACGGCGTTGCTCAGAGCAACGCCCTGGCCCGTTAGACACCTTGTCTGCTCACATCTTTCGCTGCAGTCACATATTTTGTGCTAGTCCTGTCACCTGTTTTCCCATCTCATGGCTTCTACTCCGAGTACCTTCCCTGTCAGTTACATAAATTTTGAAGTAGTCATTTCTTCTTGAGGTTATAGTCACTGACCTTGCCAACTAGCTCTTTGTGGTTAAGATTAAGTTCCAAGCAGTTTCTCTGAATATCCTAAAATCACTGGGCTTTGATTTAGTGGAATGACATTTTTCATAAACTCTCTGGATGTCACTGTGAGTCCTTATTTCTATGGATGGTGGTTTCACTGATGCTTCTGGTTTGTACCGTCTGTGTTCCGTCCAGAGCTGCCTTGGAGATGGTATTTCTCTTCATCTCTCATCTCATCTCCTTTGCTGTGGAAGAAAATGCAACAGATCCTGGATATGGGAATTAATAGTCATCTGGAAGGGCATGAGCTTCTTGTTCTGCTCATGAGCTGTGCTCCCCCAAACAGGAAAACAGAATATGTTTATGACCCCTCATGAATAGTTTTTCGCATACATTGTGTCATCCTCTTTCCTAAATATTTCTTTCTTTTCCCCACATCCATGTTACAACTTACGTCCACTCACTTGTTAATCTGGAAGTGTTTTCTTCTTTCTTTTGTTGGTCAGCAGGTACCTTCTGCAGGAGATCACAGATTTTACATTTTAAGGGATACCATGGAAAGCAATTTGATTCATTAGCCTCGTTTTTAGCAGAAAATGTTTTCTTTTCTTTTTTCCCTCTCATCAGTAACCTGGGATTTTGCTGCTGTTGTTTATCTCTGATTAACACAAACTAAAGCAGTACTCCCTTCTCTTTGGGAGTTATGCTTCTAGACCTCTATCAGATGCCTGAAAATGTGGATACTCCTGAGCCCTGTAGGTACTGTGTGTCTCTTTCTATATGCACATCCCCGTGATATAGTTTAACTCACAAATTAGACATTGTAAGGGATTAGCAATAACTAATATAGAACAGAACAATTAGGCAATCACACTTATGTGGATGTGATATTTCTCCTCATAGTTTTAGGCTGTAGATGAACCCAGGTAACCGAAACCATGAGATGTGAAACCATAGATAAAGAGAGACTATGATGTACTTAAACTTTAAAAATCATCAACCTTCAGACCAAGGCATTAATGAGAAGCAATAGCACATCCACAAAGGACAGCAGAATTGAGTGACTAAGGGACACATGGCTGAAGCTTCCGAGTACAACTCCAGTTGATTTTTGCACAACCCTGTGGATTTGGATACAGAATAATGGAATCCCTTAATCTTTATCAGGTGGTGTCCAGGTAGCAGCTGTTATGTCAGTGGCTCGGGACGACCCCTCTCACTTCAAGTCCCAGCAGTGTATATGGCAACTTGAGCTTCCCACTGCCACGGCTCTAGCGGAGGCTTTGTTCCGATCAAAGGAATGTTCCTGCCAGGGCACATAATCTAAAGTTTCCTCCGCCTCCTGGTTACTTTGAGCTCTTTGTGTCAGTAGTTGAGACGAAAGGAAGGTGTTGTTATTTAGCAAAGGATAATTTTATGATGGAGGGGGAACTGTACGTGGAGCTGAGGAGGTTCACCAGACTACTGCATCTCCCGTGCATCTCTACTCAGTAATAGTCACAAATGATCGAGGACAGCAAACTCAGCCTGGCAGGGCCTGGAAACCAAAGGTAAGACTGCTGCCTACCTTAAGATGTCATTGCAGGTGTCCTTGAGCAGACACACAGGACCCTGTCCTGCCTCCACTCTCTCCATGATGGCTACCTGAGCTGTTTCTAACTGAAGAATAGCGAGTGTGACACCGAGAAAGACACATGCGCTTGGTGTGCAACCTGCAGGCACGTTTAAGCTCCGATCTTCTACACAACAAAACGAAACAGTGTGTGAGGATTGATGCTTCAGAGTTTATTAAGATGCATACAGGCAAGATTCCTGCTGCAGAGGAGGAGACTCAAAGTGGTCAGGAATAGAGCAAAGCAGGGGACACCAGAAACATGAGTGCACTGAAGGAGGAAAACACAGTCACGAAGATCATCAACCAGCTACATAAATCTATGGGAGACCTGTGAGAAGTTGTTTTTGTAAGTTATATAAAGAAAGAGTGAAGCTCTTGAGTCAAAGCTGAAATTGTAGCTCCAAATCCAGGACATATGAAGATGACACTTGATCCGCAGAACGTAAGAAAGAAGAAAAACGGGAGGAAGTGCTTCGCACACCATAAAGCTAATTGCAAACTTTTATATAAGCGGAGTCATAAGAGCAATTTCAGAGAGAGCATACTGGCTGTCAGCAGAGTCTAGGAGGTGATTACCAGCAAGTCAGTGCCATGTGACGACGGTGATCTTCTGGGGAACCGGTCAGCAGCAAGAAGGCTGGCAGCAGCAGCTGGGCTGGCAGCAAGGGGCGCTGCAGCAGCTGGTCACACAGGTGGGTTTCCAGCAGGTGGTTCTGCAGCAGGTGGGCTGGCAGCAGCTGGACCCACAGCTGGTTTGGCCACAGCAGCTAGACTCACAGCAGCTGGGTTGGCAGCAGCTGGGCTGGCAGCAGCTGGACTGACAGCAGCTTGGCTGGCAGCAGCTGGGCTGGCAGCAGCTGGACTGACAGCAGCTGGGCTGGCAGCAGCTGGACACGCAGCACCTAGGCTGGCAGCAAGGGGTGCTGTAGCAGCTGGTCACACAGGTGGGCTTGAAGGAGGTCCTGCAGCAGGTGGTCTGACAGCAGGTCGGGCGGCAGCAGGGCTGGCAGCAGCTGGAGCCACAGCTGGTCTGTCCACAGCAGCTGGGCTGGCCGCAGGGGGAGCTGCAGCAGCTGGAGATGCAGGCTGGCTTCCAGCAGGTGGTCCTGCAGGTGGTGGTCCTGCAGCAGGTGGGCTGGCAGCAGGGGGAGCAGCAGGAGTGGGTCATGGTGTCAGGTGTGGAGGCGGGTCCTGGTCACAGGCGAGGCTCTCAGGATGTGATGACTTCTTGCCATCTGGGCTTTTTATACCCAGGACTCCCTATGTTGGGGCCAATAGGCAGGATTTTTCCTTGTATTTTGTTGTTGTTGTTATTTGTATTGTTGATGAATTGTCAATAAGGAGGTTGTCCCCTGAGTGTTTTAGAGTTTGTGAAATTAGTGTTATAATCTTTTTGTTAATTGCAAATGCTATTTAGGAGCCCTTTCCCAGAAATAAGGGGACGGAGTCATTATCAGCATAATTTCTGCTTCTGTAATAGCATCTGGTCACGTGGTTGCTCCTGTTGGCTCGGGGAGGGTCGGAACAGTTGTTGCTCCTAGATCTCTGTCCTTCAGCTGTACTTAGACTGCAAAGTGACACAGGAAGGTCCGGATTCCGGACGATTCCTTCTGGGATGAAGTGAACTGCTGCTTGGGTCCAGCCGAAGCTGATTATGCAGAAAAACCAGTCTTTGGCAACCTGCCTGCACTTCTATTCCCTTTCTATGGCGGGTACTCGGGGGAAGGCATAAACTTCCTGTGCACATCAGCACGGAGCAAGAAACAGGCAGAAGCCGCACACAGGGTGTCACGCACCACCATCAGCACATTACTGTGCACCTGTCTGCGTCTCCGGCTGGCTCAGTCACCTCAAGCGAGATACCCTTGAAGTGTTTTAGGCGTAAATATAAAAGGCAGCACACTTTGCTCATCTTGC